AATTACGTCTTAGTAAAAGCTCTATCCGTCAAGATTTTCTATAAAAGGAGGTACTTTTGATAGGAGGAATATAATTCTTGGCATAAGAAAAATTTATTTCTAATATTATGATGCGTAATATTACGCGACAGCGGCGCGAGCGAGGACCGCGCCGCCGCGGCTACGACGGCCGAGCGCTCACGCAAACTACCAGGCGTGCGGCTCACTGACGTGCGCCCGGCTAAAGGCCGGCGCTCAGTGGATTGACTGAACTCTCGCATTAATAAGCATGATAGAAAAAAATGGTTCAGGACTTTTCGACTCAGAATTTTATAAGGAATAACGCTATGTACTTGGTGGGCGGTCTTTAAGTAACACCCTGTATATTCTCGTTTTAACCTTTTTTTACTCCGGCTTCGGTTTATTAGTTATTTATTTATTTATTGCCATGTTCTCCGTATCTCCTTCACACCATTGTCAGACTTCAGTCCTACTTTGGATGTTACATCGGATGGACGTGCCGTCTAATATAGTTCTCCATGTGATGCCCAGAGATGGAAAAGTAAAACTGCTGTTTTTTCTTTAATTTGATACCAATGACGTAATATTGTAAGTTTATAGAAAATAATTCTCATGACATTCATTTTTTACTTATTCTTGACTTTGTTTCGCAATTGACACGACTGTAAGATGCAATATCGTTTTTTAAAATAATTGTAGATTGTTGAATTCCCTGAAAAGGACCACAACCCGTATGGTCGAAACGGCGGATTTTGATTGAATAAATAAACCATCTGCCAGCCTAAGTCGTCTAACAATTCTTTTTATCATTTATCATTTACTGGCGATTCACATTCTTAAGTTGTTTTCTTGGTATTCTTGGAACTTTATTTTTATAATTTATTCCAAACTTGTTCCCTCTCCCAGTATGCAACTTATATTTTTAGATAAAAATATAAAAGCTCATTTAATCCATAAAAGATTATTCGTATATGAAGTTGCATGGTACTACCTGCGACGGTAATTGCTGTATTTTCATTGTCAACAGCATCCTCAATCACTGACTTATTTGCTGCTTTACACACTTTCAAGTGTTTGTTTATTCGATTCTGAGTCTTCTGATCTCGTAAGGATAAAAGATTCTGAAAAAATCGAATATAACTTGTCAAGTATCCAATTGAAAAACTACTGAACAAAAAAAAATCTTCCTCCAATTATTATAATGTTTAAAAATTCTAGATAACTCATAAAACATTGTAGAAATGTTTTGCTGCACTTTTTTTACCATTAAATTTTATAATTCGAAATATTACATCAATAAAATTCAATATGGTTTTATACTGAACGATTGTGAAGCTAAGTTTTTTGAGAAAAACGATGTTTCTGAATGTTTCTATAGGAAATCCTTGAAAATACAGAGAACCAGATATAAAAGACTGTTCCAAAGAGAATGAAATAACACAAAGCAAGATTCAAAAAGTATTTAATGCAACAAAAACTTGATGCAGCCTAGGGCTTAAAATATCTGCCTTGCAGTTGCATTGATAATTATAGAAAAGTGCAAAACGTAAAAACATATAAGACTATTCGTGGATGCATGACGATCTTGTTTTTCTTTTTACATACTTCCTTTTTCCTTCTTTCTTCCAAAGCTTTCCGTTTCTCTTCTTCTTCCTTTCGAGCTAGAAACTTCTTAATATTTTCAGAAAGAGTTTTAGATTGTTTAGATTGTTTCTTTGGTGGCGTAAATTTTGTCTCGTAACATGGAGCGGTCTGTTGAAAAATAAATAATACTTCAGCGAGGATAGTCTAAAAAATCTGGGTAAAAATAACCTAACCTAAGCCTAAACAGATTGTTGCATACTACGTCAACTGCATACACTTTCAATAGCTCGATTGTAAATATAGAGGCTTGTTTTCTGTTGCTACATTGGTGAACTAGTACAATAAGTTAGAGTAAGACAAGTATATTTTTTTCATTCTAGCTTACTGCACTAGTTCACCAGTGCAGTGATAGAAAACAAGTCGTATATGTATGTATGTATGTCAACGAAATAAACTAACCTGCTTCTTTGTCTCGTTCTTCCGTGCAACAGAGATTAGAGTACCGAAATCCATTTTCTTGGCAACGATGACAATTGTAAGTAAAAATCTCTTGCGTATTTTTACGTAAGTATCGTGCACTTTATATCAACAGATATTTCTGCTTCAATTCGATTCGTTTAGGCGGATTAATCACGCTGCAGACACGTCGGCGACATTTTAAATATTCCAAATACTCGAACGAAAAGAGAAAAGGAGTTTTCGATAGTGAATAGGCAATATCAAACATTCTCCATAGAGACGTTGAGTCACATCATCGATAAGCGCTTCGAAAGTCTTCTCCACGAAGCTATCAACTCACGTTGCACACAACTGTCTTAAAGTAAAAAATTTCTCTATAAAATAATCAACCACGTTGCAAAGTTACAAATAGATACTTTAATTGCGCTTATTCGCATGCACGATCAATGACAACCAGGGTGCGTTCCGAATTAGCTATATTTCTAGTTACAAAGTTGGTACCACTGTAGAAGTTGTAAAGCCGTAGTCGTAAAGGTACGTGTTCATGGTGTCGCTCGTCGCTAAGTCCCAGTCTACAATAGAGATTTAAGCCCTAAGCC